TATAAGAGTGTATGTGTTTGCTCTTTACGTCACACCGGCTTAATAGTTCGAAATCATGTGTACAGAAAATCCCACTGGTGAAAGTTGGAAGGAGACCAGGTGATGCAGAGACGGTGTACGCGTCAACCGAGAAAGCTGAACGTGAACTAAACTGGAAGTAAGTAAAGGACCCAGATATTTTTGTTGGGTGTCAAGTGACTTTTTTTTTTTTTTTGGCGAAGTCTCTGAAACAGAAGAAACTCGAATCTGTTTGGACAGGGCAAAATATGGAATCGAAGAGATGTGTAGAGACCAATGGAACTGGGCAAGCAACAATCCGTTTGGCTACGGTTCTTCACCAGACACAACATAACAAGAAAGCTCCATTCTTTTTCTATTTGGTCTTTTATCTTTTACGTTACACTCTCAGATTCATACTCAGGTGGGGATAACTTCTTACATCTCTATTCATATAATTTGCTTTCTCCATTTGTAATTTATATACACGCATAGGCTTTAACTTACGTGGATTCTATTTGATTTGTAATCTTTTTTCTTATCGTAGGAGATTATTTGTACTAAATAGAAATTGAATTCAATTTTTTTTTTCAACGGTTTGGTTTGCTATTTGTATTGTGTTGCTATGCTAATGAGTAGACCATGAAAGGGAAGCCCCATTACAGAGGCCAAATGAAGCCCATAAATGATCTTCTTCTTCTTTTGCTTTGAATTACTTGTCAGTAAGTCTGTAACTATTGAAATGAAGAAAATTAAAGAGAAAAAGGACAAAAGTTATTTGAAGAAAATACACAAATCTCAAGGATAGTGGGAGCTCCAATGATGTGACTTCTGTCTGTGTTCACTCACTTTTTCTTTATTATTTTCTTCTTTCATTGACTTCTTGAAATTACAAATACACAACCTACAAAACCAAGATCTATTCAAATACATGAACACTATAAAGAACACAACAAATTCAAAAGTTATTAACTTTTCTTTTTGGTATATTCTTTTGCTTTATGAACACTAACACTCTTAGATCCGAAGATAATGCAACAATGTGACGTAAAACCTCCCCATACCCACACTTTCAACATAATTCAAATTCTCATTAAAAAAGGTTAAGCCATTATACCACGAAACCCAACTTTTTTGGGCTCATATCAAGGAGATAATGTGACCATTTGCTTAAAGGTGAACTACATGCCAAGAAAAAAGCAGCAAAACAAAAACCAAACTTACTCGTTTTAGGGGAAATAATAAATTTTTACAATTTCTAATTAATTTCCTCAAACTTAAAAGGAGCAAATAAAAATTAGTGAAAAAGGGGCA